TTTTACCGGTAAATGAGCCATATAAAACATGCAAAAAGAAAAGAAAAGTGTTGACCGAGGTGTTAAATTGTCGCCTCCGGGTGGGCTTGAACCACCCACCTTACGGTTAACAGCCGAACGCGCTAACCGATTGCGCCACGGAGACAACTAATTGAAGTAATGCGTTTAGGGGTATATTGTCTTTGCTAGATCTTAGATGTTTAGAGTCTTCAGAAAAAAAGATGAATGTAGCAATTCTATATTTCTCAATTCCTAGTATAAATCGATAGCAAGAGAAGGGAAGTCGTTCATCATAAAAGTTTCATCTAATCCCAGTTCCATCGCGGCTCTCCTGTAGTTCACCCTGGGATAGGTTGTTAGTAGTAATAAGGTGTTAGACCATTTTCCACAGTTTCGTATTTTGTACACTTAATAAGTCACTCATTTGTTTAGGTGTATCATACCTTGAAGTTTACAGACGGTTGTAAACTACATTCCTCAATTTTGTCGCCCCTTTACCATAAAGTAATGATCCCTGGACTGTGCTTTGGGTTTAAGAACTGTATGAAGCTCTTTATTATCCAGCAACGACAAGCACCAGTTCCCTCTAACGTTTTGAAGGTAGCTTTTAACAAGTATGTCCTAACAGAATTAAGACACTTTTATCTCATTGCCTCGGCTATGTCAGCCTTGCATTCCTCGGTTTCTTTGTCAAACGTGTTTCCTTACTCGGAACTGGTTAGCTCAAATAACCACCACAAACCGCATAATATCAAGTCAAGCTTTAATAATTATTCCATCTAAAAGAAATATTTTCATAATTCGCAATCAGAACAAACGCAAATCAAGTCTTAATCTCGTGTCTAATTTCAAAAACTTCAATATAAACCTACTTCTGTGGCGGGTGGTTACAACAGTCTCAGTTCACCGGTTAGCAGATTCTCCAGGTAAGCGGATTTAGAGACAGAAAAAATGATAATAAAATAACTTCTTTCTCACTTGGATTCCGCTGAAAAACTGACTTGAAACATAGTAATCTAACGCTTTTACATCAATCTGTAGAATTAATGTCAATCACGATTCTTGTCATTAAGTAAATCTATCAACAATAGGCAACACCTATTTGATAAACGAAACAAAACGCACAAAAAATTAAAATCCTCAACTGTTTGGCCAGCTTCATCTCAAAAATTAACCCTTCTTTAACAACAGTTGCTCCGTCTCTGTCCGACCAAACTTTTTCAAGCGAGGCGCCGTAGCTCAGGTGGTTAGAGCGCCTGTCTAGTAAACAGGAGGTCATGGGTTCAAATCCCATCGGTGCCTGTGATTTTTTTTTTTGCTTGTTTGTTTCAAGAAAAAAATTGTTTCTGGCGTGGATCGAACCCACGACCTTCCATGTATCAGGCTGACGTGTAACCACTTTACTTCGAAAACCAAACGCACACATTCCATTCAAACTTTTGAAGCTACTTAAATATGGCCTGTTCAGTATCGTTATCAGATTTAACTGTAAATCAATTGCGTAAGCTTTTGTAATTCCCCTGGTATAGCTCACTGTTTGTTGATATCGCTTTCTTATGTTCATAAAAAAAGACGAGTTGATTTCGGAATTGAAGAAGACTAATTTCAAAACTTTTAGCCTGCAGGGAAAAGTTGAAATTCGGAAAACAAGGTTAAACACAAAAATGATACACCTCTCCCCGGCGGGGAATCGAACCCTGGTCTCCCGCGTGACAGGCGGGGATACTCACCACTATACTACCGAGGATGTCACACTGTTACACTGGTGCGTTGAGTAAATAATATATTGTTAAGAGGTGGATTTATTAATATTTCATACATCTTTAATCCTTTCTGTTGCCAAGACTTACCTGACTAAAGAGGATGCCCTCTGTGGGAATTAAATCAATTTAAGATTTCTTTTTAGCCTGCGCTCTGATTTCCTTAATTCTGTCTTAGTCCAAGTTTGTTGTCTGGAATCGGATAATTCCCTCACATACACCAAACACGCGGAAGATCACAGGTTCATCTCCTAAGTTTTGTCCTCTTTATGTAGTTGGCAATTCACGCCTAAGATTGTATTGTTACTCGAAGTTCGCTTCGGATGAGTAATACTTACATTTATAATGAGTACAACAAAAGGCGTGGCCATTTTGATCATCGCTCAGTTGTCTGTCCGCTGACCAGTGACGTAACAGACCTCGGCTCACAATTATGCCACACTCAGATCAGAGCAGAACAGAGCTCATAGCGGTCAAACATCTGTGCATGGACAACGTACCCTTGTCGTATGCTTTGGGCTGTCACAACCATGTTGTCCAACAGGAAATATGAGCAACCACGAAAGCCAATAAGTTACGATGTTTCAAAAGCGTAGAACTTTTTTTTAGATAACAAAAGTGCAAAACAAATATACGACAGCATGAATTATATTTGTTAATCTGATGAGAGATATCCTACGTTGAAGCAAAGCGTAAGAAAAAATGAGCCACGCATTGCGACATTATAAGTCATTAAAAAAGGAGAAAAAAAGGTGACTAAGAAAGGTATTCACTATGTTTCTGGCAGGGCTCGAACCTGCGACCTTCCGCGTGTTAGGCGGATGTGATAATCACTACACTACAGAAACCTTACGGAGCACTTTAGCCCCTGCAAGGTATCGACTTAATATCGACATGTTTGGTGTCAAAACAACAGTTTGCGTAAAAACTGGACCCCGCCGCTGCATTTAAACTTTTTGTCCTTTTCCCATAACGATAGGATAATAAAATCTGCTCATTGGGGTCATTCCTGAAACACAAAAACGAAGCAAAGTGCGGAGATATTTATTTAACCAGAAACTACAACCCGGAATCCAGCCTTTCTGGAATCAGCATCCTTCAGCAGAGGAATCCGTACTCATAGCTTTGCTGGTCATGCCACAATGGTCTTGTTAAGTACTCGCACGCTAAACTCGCCAGGTGAGATACCATTGCTTGTATAAACGTTGATAATCTTACATAAACTAAGATGGTTATTTTCAACGCTCGAAAAATAACCTGGCGATCAGCTGAAATGACATTTGAATCAATAACGGTTGGTCAAATCCTCTCGGCTTCCAGCTCAGCGACCAAAAAGTGACTTCCGTTTCCACTACCGACACTTCATAAAGTAGCCCCGTGATGCCTAGTTTTTGCCCTTATTTCTTTCTTCATTATTCTCAGCATTACGTGCTTCATTCGGAAGTGTAAGCTTGCCGAGCATTGTCGCGTCTTATAGCTGATGGGATTCCAGAAGAGGCGTACCGCGAGCACATTTGTTAATGGCCAATAAAAAAGATCGAGTCGCGTTGTAATTGTAGCTAGCAATGCAGTGGAATACGACTCCTCTATTCCCTCTGCTCTGGCTCCTCCAGCTTGCAGAGTTATTTTATGTTTGATATGAAGGTGGTGAGGCACCAACCCTTGCCTTTGTGTCATCGGCCTCAGGCATTGGCTTCCGCAGATAAGATAACTTAGATCTAGCGCGGCTATGTCAATTCATGATATCATGCAAAAACACAAAAAAGAAATGGTTATGTATCTATTTGTCATCATGGCGAGCATGGAGACAAAGTTCAAAATCACAAACAGCCGATCGACACTGAGGCTGATAATAGCCAGATTCTTTCTTGGGAGCCAACCGGCCTTCAACGCACGGAATATGAAGTTAAATGGCAGGTTTATAATCGCACGGAGCCAGGTCCACGACTGCAAGATTGGTGATGAGACTATTCTGCATTGTTCGTAAAGATTTCAATCAAACAGTGAGGGTGACAAAAAAACAAACAAAACAAAAACAAAAAAACCTCATACCTTTTTCCTGTAAACTTGAAATGTGACGGAAAATCAACCGAAAGTGTATTTTACCGAGATTGGTAAAAGACAAACACACTTACAATATCATTTCCCTCTTATCATAAACACAAGAATGTTTTCTAATAATGCGTCTCTGAAAAGACTGCTTTGTAAAACACAAAAATTTATAGCCAAGTTGTCATTTTGGTTCTTCCTGGCTATTTGAAAATAAAACGAGGATATTAGTCATTTTTTCCATTTGGACATAGAAAAGTACATAAATTACGGTAAAGTCATACAAGATTTTTTTTTACTGGCGAGCCAGATTTTATTGTGCAAACTGCAATAAAACATCTTACACTCGTTATTAAAATTTAAGGCGCAGAAAACATTCAGTCATCACGTTTACAGCTCTTTCATTAAAACGTCAAATCTGACCGAAGAGATTAATTTAATGCGATTTACTAGGCTTCTGAAAAAGGTAGACACAGCCGTATTTTTTTTTATTTTTAGAAGAAAAATCTGATACGTTTTTTGATACAACGGAGTTTTAAACCAAACTGCTATTTTGTTCCTTTATTATACAATTATTTCATTTTATTCATATATCGCCATATATGTACACATTTTAGAAGGCATTGATACGATATAAAATAAAAAGCTCTTACTAAACAAAAAGCTCTTACTAAACAAAAAGCTTCTTTCCACGAATGCTGTTCTTAAAAAACTCTTCTGATGAGCCGTTTAAGCTGCTCAAGGGACTCTACTTGTCTAAGGTCGCTAAAAAGACTGTTCCAAAGTTTAGCACTACTGTAGCTAAAGCTTTTTGTCGTTCCACGCGTCCTAAATTTCTGGTTTTATAGTCTATCCCATCCACCTTTGGAATAGGAAGGTCAGATAATGATATCAATCCCTTATCAAGGCCTTTTTTTTTTAGACTAATTTGTGCGTCTCATCGTTAAGTTCCCTCTTCGCTAAACTCATTCACGTTTTGGACTTAATGATTGAATCATTGTTAATTTTTCACCATTATTTTAAGCTCCCGAATTACTTTTCAGGCTACTAAAAGGATAAAGGCACTATTGCATTTCTTCGCTTGCTTTTATCTGCTTGTCTTGATGACCTTCTTTTAGTCTGGATGCCACGGCCATGTTTTTCTTCAGTATTATTCCCAGTTTCATTACTCACTTGACACGTGACATGAATGTCTGGCTTCTCTCTGTAATCACTTGATCCGAAAGGGTCTTTCACGAACTGCTTTAAAGCCAAGCGGCAGCGACTTAATCGCGTATAGTAGATGATCGGGTTCACTGTGTTGGAGAGCGCGTAACTGTAACGGGCTACATAGGAAAGCCAGTGATCAGTCGTAACATTGTTTTCAATGAGATTAACTATTGGAAACACGCCAATAGGAATAAAGCAGATCAAGAACACAGCCATTGTTATGACGATCGTTTTGGTTGCTTTCAAATCCCTTTTCAGTTGAGCTTCAGCTTGTTGAGCAGGAGGGTTCGTTTCTTTCCTCTGCAAAAAATAAGAGATTGTATGTATCACAGAACTAATTTCTCGGAACAAGATGCTTTTTGAGATATTCAGGGCAGAGTTACGTAATTTATATTCAATTTGTAACATACAAGAGCCGGGCATCCATTCAGAAATAACAAATCTTCTTCGGGATTACTTAGCGGTCTTTTGCTCCTGATAAAACGCTCTGTAACAGTAATCGACGATACGTCACAATCTCCGAGTTTTTACTTCAAGTAATCCGTATTCAACTCTCTATGGGCGTCATCGTACAGTCAACTTCTCTTAAACTACGTCTAACTCATCTGATATTAAGAGAATAATACATGGGAGGGCGTAAATATGGAATTTCTCCTCGATATTCATTATCACAGTGGTCAAAATGTTATGGACTCACGAGGCGCAGCCAACTGAGTCTGGAGCAAATTGAACGATTCTTTCAGTACGTGGCCATAGCGAGATACGTTCACGCGAGCTGCGTTGTCTGTACTCTTAACGACAACGGCAAATTGGTCTATCAGATTAATATTGCGACATTACTGCCAATTGTGGTAAAAATCCTAAACGAAAGTTGAATTATTGCAATTACATATTTTCAGGTGACCATGTTTGAAAGATTCTACCAAAACTCGGGAGAGTGTTCACTATGAAATAAAACTCCCAGCTTCTACCTAGGCCTAACTAGATTTATGTTTATTTTGACAAGATCCTTCCCATACCTTTTTACTCTCCCTCTTTATTACACGAGCTGTCAGAAAACATACAACTGCATCACAGATAATGAAGAAAAATGTGCTCGAAGCCAAGAGATATCTTGCTTTCCTAAAGATCTCTACTCTGTATTTAGTAATATGGGCATCGCCAAGGTCGATATGGAGTAGAGGCAACGCTAACAAGATCACCATCGAGATACAGATCAACCAGATGAGAAACACACAGACCAGGGCTTTTGTCTTTGTCTTCCAGGCGAGATATCTGAAACCAAAAGAAATGGCTAGGTACATGTTTGTCATCATAGCGAGCCTGGAGACAAGGTTCAACATCAAAAAGAGTCGATTGACACTACTGTTAATGATTGCGAGAGTCCACCCTCTAAACCAACTGGCCTTCCATACGATGCCAACCACGAAGAGGGTCGAGTTTGTAATTACACTGAGTATATCCACGAGTGCGTGATTAGCGATGAGAATATTCGGTATTGTTCGTAGCGATTTAAACCGAGCAATGACTGCTAGAACCAAGCCATTGACCAGTATAGAGACGAACACAATAAGGCTGACCGACGCAGTAATAAGAACATTGGTTAAAAATGAATGTGCTGTGACCATTTTGACTGCGGAGTTGTAACCGAAGTAGAATTTATGATGCCATATGGTAAAAAGATCTGATGAACAATGCACAACGAACATGTGCAGTTGTCCAAAGAAACTATATTTCCTGTTACAATAATTAAAGAAGAGAGAAAATGGACAGGAACTGCTCCTGTAATTAGCTGGTCTCTCCTAACACGTTTTTTTTTTTAATCAAAGCCTAACGTAAAACACTGAAGCTTATTCAGCCATATATTTAATTCATATCTAAGACTTATCCCCATTAAAATTTAATTCGCAAGATTGTAGGCTCTCTTACCGATAGTTAACTAAAAAAACTGAAACACAAAACAAAAAAAACGACTACTGGTCTTCGCTAATTGTTGTGAGATTCTACCCATGACAAAGCTTGCTCAAAGAGGACAAATGTCTCTTTGGTAAATAATCATATGGATTATTTTTAAAAAACGTTATTCAAGCTACAGATGGCAAGTCTTTTGTCGAAACCAACTCAAAATGGCCGACTAAAGGTGTTGTCTACTTATTTTGATAATTTATTCTCAACAAAGTTTGCGTAAAGATGACAAATGCCTCTTACTTAATGATGAATGATCCGAGAAGTAGCTTTATTCGAAGCCCAGATATCAGTAATTAATGCTCGGATTTGTACTTGAAATTTGAAAAATGAACGTTTTCAAGTTCTACACTTTCGAATCACCATTAAGGCGCGGACAGTATTCCATATATAACGTCTCTACAGTTTTAGAAACGAGAATCACAAAACATTTTTTAATTGCATTGCGCAATGAACATATTCTCATGTTAATAGCAAAATGCGCCTTCCGTCAACAACATGAGAACGTGTAATACAACTCATTGATTTAAGGAAGACCTCAATCCGTTTTGTGCTGGACAAGTAAGTTACTGACAAGAAACCAACTTGGTTTTGTTTCAATCTGGCAATCAAAACCGGATAAAAATAATTGGTCCATTTCGACATCCAAAGTAAATAAATCAAGGACTGTAAAAACATATCAAGAAACTCCGATTCCAGCAAACGGGATGTTGATTGGGGTAATGTAACTAACAATGGCCCAAAATTTACTAAATAAACGACGAAAATCATTCCCACTCGATAAATGACATAATTTATTTTTCAAGGAGAAATGCGGAACGGAGGCGAAACCGTAGGTTGTGATGGACAGTTGAGCAAATGCACAATTCTCAGACCTCATTTAATGTTTCATCCCAACAAAGAAAGCGAATCAAGTTATAGGAGGCTCTTTTTAAATATGTTCTAGGATAAAAGTAGCATTCAAAAAATTCCTACATTTAAACTTGTCATTATTTTTCAACTAATATAAGCTTAGCAAGGTCACAACGATCTCCTAAAAATCCTCATCAGGCTAGGCCATATCTTTTTTAAAGAAACCAAAATGCCTGTTTGTCCACCAAGTCTTAGACTTATCCGTAATTTTCTTGACAAATTCACTCAGATGTTGACTTTCTAAAGAAGACATATGATACACCAAACATCGCTTCCCTCTTATTTCGAACCACAATACTACGAAACGCATGCTTTGTTTATCACAAACATTGTCGTGAGAGACATCATCACACTTGGACAAGTTTCTACAAACACTGTTTACATATCTGTACACACATTAAGAAAATAAATATTTTACCGGTTGATGTTTGGTTTTAATGCTGATTTTCAAATCGATTCTGAGAGTTGAATCTTGTGACTGATCTTTCCGATGAAAATGATTGTAAATTTCGCCATAAAATATCCAAGTAAATGCATATTCACTGTTATTAAATTCATCATTTTCGACGATTTAGACTACCACAATCCAAAAGGCCGTGTAATATTTCAAGTGATTGATTGCCTTCAATCCGTTACCCGCTGACATCAATGTCCATATTCTCCATACTAATTACTGTACATTTCCCAAGATGCTGACAAAGAAAATTTGATTAAAAATAAAGAACTTCTTTAGTTGAGGATCAATTCCTCTATTCTCATGACCTCAATGTTTGATTCAAGGGTGATATTGTAAGGAGAAATTAGGTGCTAGTCACTCTTAGGGTTTAAGGGTTAAGCTCATTAGCATCGTTACAAAAGGTGAAGCTACAGTCCTATCAAAATGAAGTGAGGGCAACATTTCTCAGTACTGAAAAAGACTGCTAATCCTACATGGAAATTTAAAAAAGACTTTACACTTGTAATTTACCAAAGATGTCTAGGGCCAAAACTCTATAGGTGTTGCTTGGGAACTGAAGCCCCAAAGGGTCCGACGTTCTAGGAAATCCGTAACATGTCAAGTTTCAGATCGGTGGTGCTCACAACACAAGAAGACAAATTACCTATATCCATACCTTACTTAAATAGCTACTTGAGCCAAGCTTTTTGAAAACTCAGTGCTTCCTAATGCAAAATTTGGTTTTAAAAAAACTTAATAGCGGAGCTTGCAACGTGCGCAGCGAAGTACTATGCTCATGAAAGAATGACAGTGACCCATCACAAAGGGTTGATACGCCTAAAAGTACAAGTAGTAGTGCAACGCCAGCAATGTATGCATCGATCATTTGTGCCCTCTATTTGGAAATAACCTAGCCACTGAAACCATTATCCGATTATCTCTTTAATTTTCGCATTTCGTTACACAAAAGATTTGTGTGTAACCTTGGTCAGAGGTATGGGAATTCTGTTACTACTGATTTCCGTCGTGATCATCAAGCCCGAATGCAACTGTTGAGGCTGTTGTTAAAACTTTCCATAAGGTATCTCAAGGATTTACTTGGTTCACACTGGCAATGTATTAACGATGATCAAGATTAAAGCGGTGTTTTCTGGGAGGAAAATATACCGCGATTGATAATGCTCCTCGAACGATGAAGACGCCATTAAGATTGCTAAAAGCCCTTAAAAAATGTTACAAAACTTAGGACATTCATTGATAAGGATACGTTCAATAAATATACGTAATTGTGATCGCGTCTTCATACGTAACCTTTACCTTCCCAGGTAATTTAGTGTTAACAACTGGGTTGAAAACGTAAATTAGCCACCTTAAAGGCTAAAAAAGCTGACGTTTCGAGCGTTAGCCCTTCGCTCCGACGAAGGGCTAACACTCGAAACGTCAGCTTTTTTTACCCTTTACGGTGGCTAATTTACGTTTTCAACCCAGTTGTTAACACTAAATTACCTGCTATACTCTCCCACCGACGCAGCACCACAGTTTCTTTAGAAACTTACCCCTTTATTCTTTACCTTCCCACTTCGACATCAAATTAGTCACAGACAAAACCAAATCAGTATGATTGATTATTTTCAATTTTTTTTGAATATGGCAACCGTAATCGGTGTTTCCATAAAAAAAAGCCTGAGGAATCAAAATGTTGTGTCGCTGGTAAACAAGTTTAAGCTTAGTCCTCAAAGGCTGGGTTCAATGACAGATGGTAAAATATCAGGAACATTCTTTATCTTGAAGTCTAAAAGCATCTGACCAAGAGCTTTTCCCTGAAAAAACAAAACATAACTCGTCATCTCATCACAACCCAGGATTAATTCCAAGCGAGTACTTCTGCATGAATCTTAGCAATTGATCTTTAACTTAAATTGGATATGAGCTCATAGATACAGTTCAACCTTAGTTCAATGATAACAGATGATATGGTATTTTTCAAAATGCAAACCAGGGTTTCGAGAAATACAAAGTAAAATTACAGAGATACACTGACACAAGAGACGTTCGAAGGACACAGCTGAGCTTCAGGGAACAATAAGTAATAGATGCCGAGGTTTTATGGCCACAAGACTTTACTTTACTTGCTGCAAATACGTGTTGCGCGTCCGAACCCTCACCTGTGGGTCGCTGCGTAATGATGTCACCCCGCCGCCTCCTAAAGCATTTTCTAAGACAAAGTTAAATGCGTTGATCCCTGGAAGTTCATATCTACAATAAGAAAATGCAAGTTTACTTAACTTTGCAGTTTTTAAGGATGGCATTAGACGAATAATGCCATCTGCACACAGATTTCAGACAGACCCATATCAAACTTAACTTAATCAACAATGATTAACCGTATGGAAACAAGTTTTCACACTAAGTAATCTACCTACATCAGCTCTCGTTTCCCTAACTTTAATTGACGAGTTAGAGCACTGTGCAAAACCAAAGCATTGCCGCGATTGTTCTTGCAGTATCAGCATAAGATTTCTTGTGCCTCTTTTAGGTCAATTGAAATGATGCGTGATATCTCAAATGCAATCAATACGACAATAAACTGTTGCGGCACCTTAAAATGAGCCTAGCTTTTAAACACCAGAAAAAATCTTCGAGATGTTTCATGATTGATGTAAGGGAACTACACTGGATCTCCCAATACTGGCTCCTCGATTTGTTCTGGTAAAAGCCTCACCAGTTGTGATCCAACTGGATTTTTGAAGCGCCGAATTTTACTCTAATTTAATGTAACAGTCGTTCTTAAATACGTATTTGCGACTCCAGCAATTGGTCGGCACTTCTTCACGAAAAGTTCTGTGTCCATCTATCCATGGTTGTACTCTAAGTGCAAACTTGTCGTCACAGAGGCCAGTGGTATCTTGCAGATAACCATTTTTCAAAGTCGTCTTAGTTAAACAATATTTTTTGTTATTGGAATTTGTTCAATCTAGTTTAGTGGGACGGCCGGCGCCAAATATCAGGTGCCCTTCTCTTGGTTGAATGTAGAAATAAAACCTGTTTTTGGATTTCATCGTTACCAATGTGAAAAAATAAAACAAGTTTTGCTACATCCTTTTCTAACAATTTTCCCCCTTATGCCACGCTAACCTTTTAACTTTACAGTGTCCTTCTTCTGGTGGAGAAGGAAATAAGTGACTAAAATATTTCGCGACACTTTCCTCGGTCAGTGCCGCTCGTATGAAGGGAACGTAGGAAGGATGGCGAGCAATTACACCTGGAAAAAGATTCACAAGGTTACAAAATCAGAAAGCTTTCCGCAGTATTTATATTTCCAATTCCATTTCCTATTTGTTGGGCAATGCATGTTTGAAAGAGTTGCAAACTCCACGACCTCTTAAATGAGACTAAAGAGTAGGATAAGTTTGAAGTACAGTTAGATGAAACGCTCAATGTAAAGGAAGAATCAGACGAGTTGGCGCAATAGGGATATACGCTTTACCTATATTGACGTTGTTGCCTTTATCACCACTCCTCGTCAGTGCTAAAGAGCTAAGTGGAAATGTACAACGGCCCTTTGGCATTCCTTAGGGGGATGAACACAAAAACAGTGTTAATGGTGCACCAACTTCATTTGAGCCAAATAACTGCATAGTTTACATTTTGATAGTTGGCAAATAGTAACTCCATCTTTCGTCCAGGCACATCATCTTTGCCGAAAACTGAACCCAATAAATATTTGTACACAGAAATTCAATCCACCTGTCACTGGATCGTAAGCAACAAAAATCGATATTTCTCTTCAGGGCGTGAAATTGATTTTTTTTTTTTTGATAGCCACTTGGCTCCTAAATTTTTCAAAGTGGTAGCCAATTCAAAAAAAATGGTCGCCATTTTTAAAGACAAAAAAAACTTTTTTTTACGCTATCAGCGTTCTAAATGACAAAGTGGAGACTAGGATGGATGATGTAAAACGTTCGAGCTCACCTAGATCCAAGATGGCGTCTAGTTATCGATCGAGATGCATGTGCTGAGTTTTGGAAACAAACTTAACGAGGAAGTTTGCAGCGGATTTATCTTTGCGAATCTTTGTAATTCACTATATCTCTAGGTATGGTTATGATGAAACATTCTAATCGCCAATTTGGCGACTACTTTTCAGGATTTGGTCGCCAAAGTAAAAAATTTAGTCGCATTGGCGCCTGTATTAGGCGCAATTTCACGCCCTGCTCTTCCAATTCCATCGGTTTACTTTTCACTGGATCGTATTGCTCTGTGCTTTTCATTACGCCCTCAACTCTGTCGTAAGTGATAACCAGCCTTTAGATTCAAACAATTTCTCAAACTTACGAATTTTTGGTACCGCATCATGTGTGCGTGTCTCACTGTCAGGTGCTGCTGGTTGTTCATCTGGTACTGAAGGAGAAACTGTTTCCACATGTTCACCATTCATAAAAATATCAACCTGAGTCAAAACAAAACAAAATATAATTTGAAAAATTTGCCTTGTTCTTAAGTGTAATACCATGACATATTTTGCGCGTTACGATGCCCTTATAGGATAAAATGGCGTAATTGTGGAATGATAATGTGAGTTAAAACTGGTTACTACTTTCCCACCTTGACGTTGTCTTTGGGATACAAGAAAGAATACAGTCTCAGCAATGGAGAGCTAAACGAGAAGAGAAGAAACGTTTCATGAACAGGTTGAAGACAAAACAAAATAATTGTGGTCACACATTTTACTAAAGAAAACAGAAATTCAAATCTTACACTCTCGGTCTTCCTCCAACGATGGCAGTTAATCCAGGGGCTGCAAAAGAAATAAGCTGTGATGTGATTTTCATCATCTTCATCATCTTTTACCTTTCAGGATCGGAGTAGGGATGGATACCAGCAAACTATCCAGGAAACCAGAAGAAAGGTCAGTGGGGTAGGAGGGGGTAGGGGAGGAAGATATCCTCGTGATTTCTTGAAATACTGCCCAATGAGAGGTAGTAACACGTTTAGTTTCTTCGTGCCACTGAAATCAGTATAAGCAACGGTTGGACGGGCGCCGATGACTTTGAGCGAGCTGGCTTTTTGTTTCACAAAGATAAGCCTAACTGCCATAACGTTGCTATAGAAAAATGCAAGGAGCAAAAGTGACAGAGGAAAAAGCTAATTAGGAATTAATTAGCTTATAAATTACTTTCTTAGGATTATATCAGTTTTAGAACAAATACTAAAAGGCGCGAACATCTTATTTTCTAATTCTGGGATAATTTTTACTTACAAGTGCAGTAGCTACCATGAATATTAAAAATTTAGTACAACTATGGTTTTTCCTTCTTCCATATTTGCTTTTTGATTCTGTGCCGACGTTATGACCCTTGAAATTAGTACACCGAGCCTTGGAATTGGCGTTGCCATGTTGACAGTGAAGACACTCAAACTCACCCATACTAGTTCCAGCGGATGCAATTTCCATCGCAAACAATTCCAATGCTTTCTTCTGTTGATGATGAACTGCCAGCCATAATACTGCTTCCCTGGGATTCTTCAAAACACAAAAAGAAACAGTGTGAAATGTCAATTAAGTTAAAATTGTGCTTCAGGTTTGCGGTTCTTTTTAGCAGTTTTGTCGAAATTGAAGTTTCTGTAAGCAGAAAAATTGTGCGAGGACGAGAAACCTCCATAATATAAGCTGTTTGCTTGGATAAAGGTGCATATTTAGCCAGAGAGATAATACATTTATGTGAGTTTTAAAAAACCTCCGATCACCGTATTCACAATTATTTTCCAACACTCACTTTCCAGACCAGCCCAAACTCGTTAATTCCACACCTACAAATCTGCAGTAGATCCTGAAATTTCTGTTAGATTCACACAGTGCCTCAAGTCTTTCGACAAGTCTTTCGAAAACTCTCTCTTACACCATTTTAATAACTTACTGCTGTCATGATCCCTGGAAAGGCATGTTTTCCATATGTCTCCTCGGAGCCCAAAACCTGACACGGAATTGTGTACGGCGTTAATAAAGATATTGTTCAGATATACCTTTCACCCCAAAGATCTCATCATTGATTCAACTTAATGACTGCCATACAATTCTTTTGATTTTAGTTCTGAGAATTTGTGATCGGATCAATTAATAATCCCCTAATTGATATTTTTCTTTATTCTCATCACCTGTCTGCTTGATATTGTACGGATATTGTGAGGAGAAATTCTGTCTTGGTCACTCATGGGAGTTAAAGGGATATATTGACTGCAAACAGAATTTAACGGACAGCAACATGTGGTATCGATATCACAGCAGCACACATTCAGAACTGTTACCTGAATATGAGTTCGTGTGTAGTCATCCAGCTTTAAATTTTCAAACATTCTTCTTGTCCTATAAAAATTTTGCCAATTTAAAGTAATTAGAAGCTGATAATTCCCAAAAGAGGCAGGAGAGTCATAAAGCGCTTGTGTCTTAAACCAAAACCAAAAAAAATTACAATGGCCGATCAAAAGAAAGGAAATACCCTGAAGAGCCAGTAACAACTCAAAACAAAAAAGGGTAAATCGCCTAAAGCGCGGGAAAACGCGGGAAAGCGCGGGAAAACGCGGGAAAACGCGGGAAAACGCGGGAAAACGCGGGTGTCCAAGATTGGTGTTAGTTTTGCATTTGATTGGTCGAGAGAATGGTAGAAGTTTTCTGGACCAATCACAGAACGAATTAAAGGAAACTAAAGCAATCCCGGAATACTTTCGAAACTCAGTTGAAAATTGCTCGAAGAGGAAACAATTACTATTATATCTTAGCTAGTAAATTTGTCTAATCAAATTCAATTGCGTGAGCGTGTTTAATATTCCTATTATCGCCCGTTCATGACGTCAGCAAACAAATCCCTCGAGAAAAAAATTTTCTCCGCGATTTTTTTGCTTTGGGATTTTACTTTTAAAAAACTGATTAAGACAATTTAGGCTAAACGGCAATTTAGGTAGCAAAATGTTTTGGAAACAAAATCGTTTACTGAAGCGTAGCAAAATGTTTACCCCTGAAACATTTAAACCATAGCAAAATTTAATCAGGGTGATCCCTTCAGAAGCGTGGTATAGGGAATCAATTAACCCCTTTAAAACATTTCAAAATAAATGATAAGAAACTAAGTAACTATAAGTTAATAATAGTACAGTATAACCATTGGGTTGTAATAAAACAATTGGTTCATACGTCAGCTGTGCGTTCATCGAGATATGGAGCACTTGGGAAGTTTGGAGAGCACTCAAGAAGCTAGACATCTTTCGTGCTCTCCAAACTTCCCGCGTGCTTCATCTCGATGAACGCACGCCTACGTATGAACCAATTGTTAAATATACACTGTAAGGACATTACAACTGGAAAAAGATAAAGCTTTTGCATCGTGTATACTTTTCTGGCAAAGTCTATTCGTGTATAAGTCAAAAGGCGATAGTTTGCACACGAAACAAGTGGCTCAAACAACGAGGAGCAAGTTGTTCAGAACAAGGTAATCTTATGTCTAGTATGCTAACCATGCAATCGGACGCCATCTCAGCTCAGTAGGGGTCAAAATATCTTACCTTTTCAAGAGGGCTTCGCCCGTTTTCTTAGCTTTGAGTGAAGCAAACGGCCCTCCAACAGGACAAACAGCTGTGGCACGAAAGCCATCTGCGTACGTTGCACAAACCTGTTACAAAACACAAATTATGACATCTGTCAGTGAAAAAATTCAAAGAGCTCCTAATAGAGAAAAGACACCAAAACTATCCACTATCAAAGGGAACATGATGAGTGGCAAATCGGAATAAGTATCACAATGGGTTTCAAAAATGGTGACTTGTGACTTTACGCGCAGTATTTAAAATAATTTGATTATTTCAACTGAGTTCTTAAATAAATGTAACTTGACCACCATAAAGAGTTCCTAAATCTTTCCGGTGGTCGATTTACATTTATTTATCAACACAGTTGATAAAACCCAATTGAAGTATCGCTAAAAAGTAGGTCGACAGTCTTGACACGAAACTCGATCCTCGTAATAACTGAGAATTGAGGCTCGAGAATCAAGGCTTAAGGATCAAGAATCAAGACCTGAAGATCAAGAATCAAGGGTTAAAGATCGAGGCACTCGCAGAACTTTTCAAGGATCACATCTGTAGTTTTGAGGAAACAATTAAATTCTCACATGCATAAAAATAGCAATGGGCAAAGCACTTACAACTCTGCCTCTCCTTTCTCAGACCCCCACCGACCCAGCACCACACGTTCTTTAGGAACTTACTCCTATTATTTCACTAAATTAAATATACCTTGTATGCATCTGAGGCTGGTTTGCCAACTGCACCCTGAACAAGAACTGCTCCACCATCATAACCTAATCCAGAAGGAGTGTTCAATTATTTCAACTCCTGAGTAGCTCTTCTCATCAACATTTCAAATCTAATTATGAGAGACAACTTATTTCTTCACCAGAAAGGAAGCATATCACTTAATATTTACAATTAAATGTGACAAGTTATGATATCTTTGGCAAAATAAAGATGTCTAAGAGGTACCATAGACAGAGGGATTCATTGGCAAGCATGTGGAAAGACAAATTGGACGTAAGGTATTTTTAAGACAATGAATTCCATAAATGAACCAATTTAAAAGTTACATTGCACACTTGAAATGGGACGTCATTTCTGACTGGGGTAAAGAATTCTACAAAGGCACATTTTGAACTATTCCATCAAGTAACCAAATGGGTGTGTCAAGTATACAGCAAATATCAAAAACAAGTATGTAAGTGAATGAGAAAGGAGTATTGATATTGTAGGCCTACAGCACTCACCAATGAGTCCTTGAAGCCTGACTTGCGTAAAGTCGCAAGTCACATCTGGGAGAACATATTGGGCTGGGTCTCCAAGCTCATAAACCAACTGGAAGGAAAAAAAAAAAAAAGAAATGTTTCTTGCTTAATCCTCTATAACACCTAAGCAACTAATAATAATAAAAACAATAAAGATGACAAAAAAAACCTTCCTCAAACCTGTTCAGCTACAGTAGATGGAGACACCAGCCCTCCAGTGTTGGGAGGTTTAGAAAGAATAAACTTTCCATCTGCAGCACACTCAGCTATGGGATAACCAATATTGTCCCTAAAGAGGTAAGACCCACTTTGATTGGTACGTAGAATGCAAGTAACAGATACAGACAAAAGTTCAGACAACAATAAGTTATTCAAAATATAAATTACCACGACCCCAAAAATTACCAAAATATGAAAACTCAATTTTGCAAAATTCACCATAAAATGTAAATTCAAGATTGAGATACCCACCAATTATGTACAGTCTGCCAGTCAGTGAAGATTCCTCCAGTGCACTGGGCCCCACACTCGACTAAATGACCCACCAAACTAAAAATCATTAAATTATCAGTTAAAATATATGTGGATAAATATATAATTATTATATGATTACAGATATCAACTATTTACGGGGCAGGAGGCCCGTATGGGTAAAAACTGAGCCTGAGGTCTTGAGTATGGCCCAGGGCCAAAGGCTGAAGACTAACTTTGATGGTTTTGGTTTTTCTCCACTTCACCGCCAATGGCACAGAAAAAATCCTGAATCATAGACAGCATTGTGAAAAGTTGGACCAGCTACGAACATGCAATTGGCTAATCAGGTTTTCTGGCCCCCTGAATGCTTCACGACAAAATAATGTGTTATCTTTATCCAAAACTTAACACCTTGAGAATTCAAAGCTTCACATATTTTAAAGATGTTTTGCTAAACACAGTTTAAATTTTTCTTCATACAGTTTAGAAGCTGCAATGATTGTTGCCTTCAAATTTATCAAATTGAAAATACAATTTGGTGATACTTGAGGTTTGACTAAACATGTTCAGCAGGTGTGAATTCTGTTTTGGTTGAAAGTATATTAAATCTAATGTAAAATTCACTATCCATAACTAGATCATATATAATCCATAAATAAATGTAATTTGCCATACATCATTTTAATCTAACCTTCCAGATGCAAGTAAATCGTAATCATTTGGCTTCCATCCAAACTACAAGAGATGATGTCATGTTACATTTTATTTTAAATAACATTGTCAACACAATAACAAGCACGTATTTTTGTGATCAAACAGGGAGAACTAGTTAGGCAAAATTCATGGAGCTATAGCAAAAATTTTGGATTAATGCAGGTTAAAACATGAAATTTTTAAATTTTTAGCTGATTTTAGCTGCACATTTTTTTTAAATGCACAGGATAAGCTGTCGATATCGAAGGGTTTACCTCATACATAAGAGGGCCAAGAACCAATGCACTGTCAACACATCTTCCAGTAAGAACTACATCAGCACCAAGCTCCAAGGCCCTTACAATGGGAAGAGCTCTAATAATTTAAAAAAAAAAAAAAAATTAATGAAAGTAGCTTTTTCAACAAAAAAAAAAATCAATGTACTACAAATATCACCTAGTTAAACATAATTATAATATTATTGAAAATAATAATAATTTGGCATGGGGGCTCCATTAACTGCTTAACCCTTTCACTCCCATGGATCTGACTGTTAATTCTCCCCTCTAGCTGCTACACATTTCCTTGTAAAATAGCTGCAAGAATTTGGTGTTAGATCAAGATAAAAACTTTAAGGTGATAAGTTTGTGTATTCTTATTACCTGCTTGTTGGATAATGTATGGTCATTAGAGGGAGAAGTCACACTTTAATCACCTCTGGGAGTTCAAGGGTCAACCATTTGACCCCTAGTGGTGACTTGAAACTAATTTCTCCTCACAATATCACCCCTGAATTCAACATTAAGGTGACAAAAATAAAGGGAATGATCACCAATTAGTAGATGCTCTTGATTTCAGAAAAAATTCTCCCTGTCAACATCTTATTTTTTTAGAGAACAGTATGGTGAATATGCATGCTAGCACTAGGGTGTCAAGGGTTAATTTTTCAATGGGCATCACAGGAACCTTGCATAAGAAGTCAAGTGTATCGGGTGTCAGGGTTCATTTGTCTCAATTCTTGAGCTTGAAATGACACACATAATAGTGGAAGGGGCCTGTAAGAGTATCTTACCAAATGAGTACCCACTGCTTCTTACCCTATATACGCATTCATGCTGACAACACTGTCTGGCAAGTCTTGACCACTTGTCATCTCTTTAATGCCAGCCTGCTTTATTTGTTCAATGTCCCCCATAAGATCATCTCCAGTGACAACAGCAACTTTTAAGTCAGTTTGAGCTTCTTCTGCCACAGCAATCAAAGCTTTGGCACACTCGTGTGGATTGACTCCTCCCGCATTACTGACCACGCGAATACCTGAATGTTGAATAAGAAATTTGAATTGAAGAGAAATGTTTCAAGAAATGGAGAACTTTGTTCAAGGCTTCATTTGAGAAAAAGTCAGTCATTACCACTCTAGTGAACATAGAATTGTCCTCAACAAAGCTTCTTTCTCCTCCTCATTTTAAGGGAATGGCTATGTTATTAACTAAGTTCATTCTAACTTACAACTAATTTCTTGATTAAATGATGAACTGAATCTTACACAAGGCTTCATTTGAGATAAAGTCATTCATTACCTCTTTAGATAACATCAACAAAGCAAAATGTTTCTCATCGTTTGTTTTAGTAAATCAAGTTCATTCTAACTTATACTTAATTTCTTGATTGTATTGTAAGCTGAATCTTTCACATATTTTGATGGTTTTGTATTTATGATCTGTTGGAGGACAGAGGCATAGATGATGTCACCACTAAGAACATTGTGCTTTTTTATCATATAAGACAATTAGATTCTATACTGCCATGGGTCTGTACAGTGATAGATCATAGACTACATCATCAGTGATATACCCAGGTGACATACTCAGCTGCGCCGCGTGTGCCACTTTTTCGTTCTTTCCTCATTTGGACATCAACTGTGATCTATTACTGAACAGATGTACTGCACCATAGAATGTATTTGTTGAATAGAGTATTCAGTTACTGAGCTATAAGAAGCATTTGATTCGGTACCTTCACCTTAAGTCTGATTGTTGTTTGACAATGGCAGTACCCAGTCACCCCTACCTTTTTTCTTTATGGGTTTGATGAGTACTTTCATAACAGACTGTATGAAGTCAGGTGCATACCCCATAGTCTGAAAAAGTCAAATAATCACTCCTACTGTTTATTATTTACTACAGTTAAATAAAGTAACAAACAAAACCTGTGTATCCACACACATTCTTCAGAGAATTAAGGGGCTAAGTTTCTAAGGAAACTGTGGTGCTGCATCAGTGGGAGATTTAGGATGATTTAGTATTATCAACTGAGTTGATAGGATAAACTGGCCACCGTAAAGAGTTTCAAAGCTGGTTTTTTTTAAGCATTAGCCCTTGGTTATTTCAGATACTGAAATTGATCCCAAGAAACCAACAGTAACTCGCCCCATTATTCACAGAGATTATAAACAAATGACATTATCATATAATATATATCGTAAAATTATAATTTGAGCTTATATTAATCTAACATACTTTTCCTTGGTTAAATGCTATTTCCTCTTGTTCTAGGGCATGTATGTGAATGATAATTTAAGTAATGATGACACAAAGAATATTACAATTAAAATCAAGGATAAAATTAAACAGTAACATATACAGTGTGCTTACAGGAGATTTTCTTTTAGCTGCTGTCAGAAGTGACATTGTGATTTCCGACAAGTAATCAGACACAAGATAATCTATATTGCCCTCGGAAACAAGCTGTGGTGCTACAATGAAAATGAAAAAGTAGGTAGAATTAATAGGATGCTGTGCAAATTATATATCTAAATTAGATTTTGATCATGGCCTTTCCTTTAGGTGGCTTTTTCTCCAATGTTTCTGAATCAAATCATAATTGCCTGTAGAAGTCAATGATCTCTGGCAGTACCAGAGCTATATTTTAGGTACAAGCCTAGGACCACAGGCAAGAGCTGGGCATCACTAACCATTGCAATCTGATTGCTAATTCTCCCCTCTAACTGCATCACATTTATTTGTAGATTATTTACAAGAATTTGATGTTAGATCAAGATGACAGCTTCTTCCTGATGAGTTAGAGTATTCTCATTACCTTTTAGCTGGATAATATTGGTATATTATAAAGAGAAGTTACATTTTAATCACTTATGAGAGTTAGTAAGGTAATGACACAATTCTGAGTGCAATTTGGTGTTTCTGAGCACAAGTAAATTTTCCAAACACAACAAAATTGCGAGAGCAATTTGCAGTCTTTGACCAATTTACAAATTTTATATAACACCAAAGTGCAAGAGAAATCATGTTATTACTTGTTAATAATGTGCATGAAAAAACATTGCAGAAAGTCAAGACAGACAAAATTTTGAAAATGTCTGTGCACTGTTTGTACTTTGCATTCTTGTTACAACTTTGCAATTGTGTTACATGAGAATGCACTCATTTTCTGCCAATCTGATGCGCATTTTTTTTTTTAATGTATATTATCGACTATACCCAAATTAATATTTTTCTTTATTCTCATCACTTATCTGGTTGATATTGTATTGATATTGTAAGGAGAAATTATGTCTTGGTCACTCACGGGAGTTGAAGGATCAATTTTTAGCCAATGTCGCAAATTGCTTTATTGTTATGTGGTATGCAGTTTTTTTTACCTGCCAACATTGAATCTCCCCAGAATCCAGAGGCACAGCCTATACGAACTGTCTTTCCCTGCAAAGGGTTCGACATAAACCTTTTCTGTTGCCATCTTGAAGAACGTACCACAGCCAGATTACATCTCTCCCACGATAGCGCACCATAAAGATTCGTTACATTGCCACTACCTCTCAAGGACCGAGCTAGAGCAGCCATGTTCAAGTGTACTTTATAAATATTATTTGATTAAAATGAACAGAACTACATAATCGTGAGAAAAATGAAACGATCTAAAGAAAATCAAGAAGCCCTGCTCGCGATCGACAGGAAGGCCGACATCTTGAAGGCTTGGCTGCTTTGCAAACGGGTGAGGATACAATAGTGGGCTTGCGCATTACGGAAAATAGCCAATTTCAGCAAAAATGGCGGAATCCGAAAGAATGGAAGTCGACTCCCCTGCAGTTTCATCGACATCTTCAGGTTCCAACAAGAAAAGGTTCGAAGTTAAGAAGGTAACTAAATTTCCTGATCATTATTTTCAGTCGTATCAGTTTCTGTGGACATTCTGTGGATTAAAAGTGATTCTTTCTTTCTATTTCTTTTAGTGGAATGCCGTTGCTCTTTGGGCTTGGGGTAAGTCGGACACTTTTTCCTCCAAAAGTCCTGAAAATCGTTTCAATTGTTACTTAGGAAACAAATTTTGTTTCATTTTCCAGATATTGTGGTTGATAACTGCGCCATCTGTAGAAATCATATAATGGATTTATGTAAGTCATGGTGAAACAGTTAAACGATAATTGTTGTAACGTGGATGTCATCAGTCTGTCAGAATAAGGGTACAACTTGTGTCTTTTATTAATTGATTGTCTTCGGTCCATATTTAGTCAAAAACTCTTAATTCCTTGACTGCATTTGCCATAGTTCTGAAAAGTTTAGATGCGACTGTACCGGAATGGCAGTTTTGATTGCTTGAAAACGGCTGTATTAGTACAAAAACCTAAAACTCTATGTATATGATACAGTTTTTATATTGTTCTTTCTTTTTCTCCCGAGAAGTATTTAAAGAAGTCAGTGTACTACAGTCTAGCTACTGAATAACAACCAACAGGAACCCAGAAAATTAAAGATGAGACACTTGGAAGGAAAAATACTCTGCAACTGTATTATTTAAAAACAGTCCTTGGACATGTGCTGTATGCCATATCGATTTCCTGCATTGCTTTTATTTCAGGTATCGAATGTCAAGCAAACCAGGCTTCTGCAACAAGTGAAGAGTGCACAGTTGCATGGGGTGTTTGTAATGTAAGTGTAATGATAGGCATTGGAGAATGATGTTTTTTTCGTCTTGTCACAAGTGTAGGACAAAGAAAAAATTCTGAGTCCCCATGAGGAATCGAACCTCAGACCTTTGGATTCCGCACTCTGATGCTCTACCACTAAGCCACAGAGACTCCATGGTGAGCGAGGTCTGTTACGAAGTTCATATGACACACGCCCTGCATACTGCTAGGATCAGCAATGTCAATAGCATAATGTTTGTAGTTAGAAATAAGAGAGATGGTAAGTATGAGCTCAGTAAAGAAATAAAGAATGATGTTTTTTTGTCTTGTCACAAGCATGGGACAAAGAAAAATGATAGGCACTGTTTACAAGCTACCTTAGTTAATTAAAGGAAATTAGCAATGCACCTGTGTTAATTAAATGCATCTTAATCTATGTTGATTTTGATTTAAATCGCACTATTTACATCATTGTTATTTATAATACCTTTATTTCAATAACAAAACCTTATTTGCTCATAGCTGAGGCCATAGAAATGCAAGGGTCTAAGGGAGTGCTCCCTGTCTTGATCCATTTACTGAGAAATAAAACAATGAAAATGAGCTAATAATGACTGGAAATGCTGCTGTTTTTTTTCTTCAGATATGTATGTTGAGAAGTTTGTATCTTGCAATGCCTATGAAATGAAATATTGGACAAGAATAACTTAGTCACCTATGCCATTTCAGTTTTCTCCTTGTATTTTCTTCTGCAGCATGCTTTCCACTTCCACTGCATCTCTCGCTGGTTAAAGACTCGTCAAGTTTGTCCTCTGGATAACAGGGAATGGGAATTCCAAAAGTAAGTTATCTCATGTTGCCTGAATCTAAAAAACTGAGAGAAAAAATCCTTTTTCTTTCTATGATGTCATCCAAGCTTTTTCTATTATGCTTTTACTATGCTAAAATGAAAGGGAATTCTCTTTAATATCAACCATACAATTCTAATAATGTCAGTTCAGAGAATTTAGTATTGGATCAACTAATTATCTTCAAATTGTTTTTTTTTCTTTATTCTCATCACTTATCCAGTTGATATTGTATTAATATTGTAAGGAGAAATTCTGTCTTGGTCACTCACGGGAGTTGAAGGGTTAATCTACTTCCTGAAATACAAATTACCATAGTATGGGAGACACAGCGGTCTAGTGTTCAGTGCACTGGACTCCCTTCTCCAACCAGGAGTTTAAATGGCTTCTGCTAAATTTTTAGGGAAGCCTGATGAAATGTGGGTAATGTTGTGATGGACTAACTTCCCATCCAGGGGAGAGTAGTGATACTCGCAGTTGCCCCATGCCAAGGAAATGGGAATAAGTTCTGGCTGGATGGAAGTTATTGAAATTGTTAAAATCAGTTTCTTTACTATTCAACAAAAATGAAACCATCTTTTAAAAGTACAGAATTGTTATTTAACACTTAATTATCTTTGAGTGATGATTTCATAATATTGTTCAACAAACAGTTGAAAAAAAAGATGGGTTAATATGCTGGAAGGTGTCACCTTGATATAACACCAATTTCTTCTAACTGATTTACAAGGCGACATCAAGTAATCCAAAGGAAGAGTTGCCTATACAATCATTGGAGTGAAAGCACTGTAGTACTTGTTATTCAAACACAAAAGTGAAACAATTTTTCATTAATCTTGTGTTTTAGGTATGGTCGCTAAAGGTGAAGTATACCTCCTTCCTTACTGGTGGTCCTCTTGTTATGCGAGCCGCATTTAGCTTTATGCAAAAATAGTTATCAAAAAACATTGCTTTTTTTCAATCTTGTAAAAATTAATGAATTAATTAATTTCTGCAAGGTATATGGTACTTTTTGTCCCTTTTCAGTAATCAAAATAAAACCTTTTCCTTTCAATCCTTTCTTGTTTGTTACAGTATTGAATAGGTTATAATTTGCCACAAAGAAGTTTTATCTCTCACTGTGTCAAATTTTGCCAGAAATACCTTCATTTTCAATAATAAGTTAGAGTTTAAATGAATTATAGATTCTGCTAAAAAGACAGTATTCCAACAGCTAAGTAAACGTGTCACACACGATTATGGATCGAAACACCTTGCAACATGTTTGACATAGCCAGATCTATTGATTATCAGCCCACAAGGTAAGCCTGTGGAAAGGTTAAGACAACTTTCATCAAGAAATTCTCCATTGCAATTAATTTTTTAATTCAGATTTAGCTTTAGAGCACTAGCGTTACTTCATCGTCTAGAACGATGGTGTTGCTAGACAGCAACTTCTCGAAACTTCTTCCTCCGGAAGGAGGAAGGGAAAGGACTTGGGACGAATATGGCTTTACAGCTCTTATGCGTAAGGTCAATCAACAGGACGAAGGTCTGCCGAGAAGGCTCCTCTCGGGGATGGAAAAATTTTTAGGGGGCTGGGAAAGGGCTAGATAGAAATTATACATATATTTTCCTCATAAACACAGCTCTCTGTGATGTTTGAGTTTCACAAGGATTTCTAACAATCTTCTGGCTGGTTGCCCGAAGAGAACGCTGAGAAAAATAATTTATCAAAATTGTTGCCTCGGGGGTGTTTACCACCGTCTTATTTTGAACCGTTGTAGCTTCGTAATGAACTTTTGAAACAACTGCACTGAAAAGCGCGGTGGCTGGTTTTTAAGCGGTAGCTTCAGAAGGTGTTCGTTACGATGAAGTGAGCGAATGTTACAAACCAAAGTTTACAAGACTGTTATTCGAAGCGAGACAAAGAAGATGAAATGATCTGAACACTGTAAACCTGGTAAAAGTAAGAAAATAATCTCGCATAAGCGCCCTGCAAAAATCTAAAATCATAACCAAATGATTTTGCTCAGCTCACCCTTTTATTCCTGTCAGCACAATGTTATCGACGCCAAACAATTTGAACTTTAAGCGCGAGTTCGAGAAAGTTAGCAAAAAAAAAAAAAGTATGTCCGCTAGGGCGCCGCTCGTAACTCTGGGAGTAAGTTGCACGAGGCGTCCGCGCGGCGCGCTACTATAATTTTTTTTTTCGGATATTTTTGACTTGCATGGCGGATTTGCCAAAAAAAGAGGGACTTCTTGTAGTCTAGAGTAAAGACAGCAACATGTGCTCCTATTCAGAAGCATGAGTATTAAATATCAAACTGAAGTTGGGTGCAAAACCAGAAGATATCACTTGACAACATATGTTTTGTCATTTGATATAACCTATTTGCTAAGGGTGGAGTTCTTAAAAATGGCCACTGGACGCAAGATATATTAAATTGCTAGTTCTTCGAAAATACGACGTGATGCACAGCCACCAGTTTCAGTTTTGTACTAGTCCGAGATCAAGAGACGTCGTGTATTGCAGGTGAATTATAAGCGGCATATGTGTATATATTTAAAAAACAAAAACAAAAAAAACAATTTCCTGTTTAAGTGGTTGTTATGCGACCGGTTAAGACGATCGAAATGCAAGCTTGCCAATTTTCAAAATTCATAGCCTTTGAATATTCAGGAAGCTGTTTTATATTCATGAGCAGAAACATGAAACCCATTATCTTGCTGAACATTTAGCGTCCATTTCTGTCGACCAACTGAGGTTTTCTGAGTTTCTCGACCTTCTTGATAACGTAGCGCACGCAAGTAGAGGTGGAGCTGTGTGGAAAGAAAAACTGGTTTGTTTCAATTTTATTTTGTTTGCACAATTTTTCCTCGAGCTCTTACAAGAAATTTTTTTGGTGGTTACAATTTTAGAAAGCAGCGACATCAAACGACAAACAAACAAAAATTTTGTCTGAATTCACAAGCTACTGTTTATCGAGTCTGTTTTCCGCTTTTCTCCTGGTTTTGTTAGGAGACTGAGTCAATACCTTAAGGTCGCCTTTCAGATAAACAGATGTGGTAGTCGCCAATTTTAAAAGAAAGTTCTCATAGTATCAAAGGGAACTGTCTCCACTTATAGCTTGGGGGTTTGGGTGATTTTTCGCTCTTTTTTGGGGGGAGGGGTGAATTACATGGTTTTCAGGGGATACGAGTGGGGATCAGTCTTCGCTAACAGAGTACAAAGGGAGGACTTTACAGGATGGACTGCCATCATAAATGAAAACACTGTTGTATGAAGTAGTATTTGCGCATGCGCAAGTTTTTTAGGCCATTTCCTTGCACAGTTTACAGCCTCATCACAGTAATTTTGCGCGTATAATTTTAGTAGTCTTGTGTTTTGAGCTATCCCATTTCTTTTAATACCTTTTACGTTTCATTAAATTGGTCTGGGGTTCAAGTTCCCACACATGTCGCGTGAAGTGAAATTACAGATACAATTTTTGATTAGGATAGAGTTTCTGAGGATGACCTGTGTAGACAAGGTCGGAGTCGCAACGGCGACCCAAATTTTTGAGCTGGGACTTTCAAGGTCCCTTTAACTCTTTGCAATGGGATGTATAAATACCACTCGACAATCAAACGCAACATAAGTTTTATTTTCTTCTCCAGCATTTCTCCATCAGCGCTATCGGATACCGACTCGTCCCAAACATAATGACCAAAATAAGTCATATCAACCTTTTTTAATCCCAGAAAAAGCCAAACTCATACCATAGCAATACAGGTTCAAGCAAAATGTGATGAGAAGAACTAAAGACATTAACTAGGAGTTAGCAGGAGCCCATTTTCGTTCATGGGCTCCTGCTAGGAAATAATGCTGTAATCAACAGCAAATTTTAAAAGCTTAAATCACAAGAAATATAAAACAGATAGCGCGGAGGATTTTTCTTTAGTTCTGAAGAGTGAGAGGGTTGATCATGAATTACGCTGTCTCAACAATTTGTCTGCAACAAGATTTTTGACAGTTTAAAGAGCACTCCTCAAAGAAAGCGAAAAAGATCTGCTAAAAATACGATAGTATCAGCTATTACAATACATACAAAATTTCCGGCTGGTCGCTTGCAACAAACTGAAGTTCAACGTTAAACGGATGTGAATGTGCCAAGTAAGTAGTAGTTTCATATCTAAAAATAATGACTCTGCCATTCAAAAAAAAATTTTTCGGTAATTAGGAAATTGAATGAGAAACATTTCAATCACATTCAGAGATGGAAGCTACAGGCCGACGGCCTCCCCGATCCTCATTCAATATTTCTTTGATTTTCTTTTTCTTCTTTTTTTTATTTTTATTTTTATTTTTATTTCGGATCCTGCTACAGTTTATTATCAAACGGCCGGGTACTCCGTAAATTACTCGGCCAGAATTTGCTAAACGGACGGTTTCTACAATGACTGTCATAAGCCGTGTATTTTTGTTCTCGAAAGTCAGCAAATTCAAACTGAATAAACAAGTTCGGTCCTGGACTGCCATATACTAAACCATTTACTAACTTCGTTTGCTCTGGTCGTACTAGTAAATATTAGTTCTCGCTGGTTTTTAGACAGACTTTGTTACACTCGGTCCTCACTACCGCGACCTCGATCGAGCCGATATTCCCCGGTACTGCCTTTGCGCTCGGATAGTTATAAAATGGTATTATCGGAAGAAAGCCCCCAACATATTTTAAAAGCAACCGAATAACTTAGCCCTGGCTGAAAATCAAGAGGAAATAGTATTCTTTAAGTAGTACTTAGCGGAATATATCCAATTACGAGGCCTATTTTTTTTCGAATCATCAAGTATAGGAAAGTGTCATTCAATAGAGTTATATTTTTTATATTAAGTGATAGCTTCCATAGTCGATATTTTTATGTCGCACTACTTCGAAGTTACGAAAATAGAAAATGGCTAGGTTGTAAGAACCAGGAGACTCCATCACACTGAAAACTTACGCCGTTGCATTATAATGTTCGCTGTGGGGGGTGGG